TGATTTCTTAACCACGCAACCAACGAATACTACCAATAAATCATCAAACGCTTTTGAAAAAAATGGGCACCTATAATCATTAGCAAAACTTTATAATTTTCAACTTTCAACTTTCACTTACTTCAACCTGTAATTACTCTTTCTCGCAACTGTGATCTGTTTTACGATGTTTTCGATCCCTCTATATACGTCACTATGTTTGTTATGAATAATGACGTAGTAAAAACATTGTAATAAATAAGATATTAAAAAAATTATGTGTTGTGATGTTTAATTAAAATCAGTTTCAAATGTCACCATATACATATGTCTTTTAACTCTCTTGGGAATAACTTGCAACCCATCAATGCATTGTTTGCCCAACATGTTTTTACTCTAAAAATTGTTTCTATTTAACTTGTTTTTCTCATTCTGTCTTAAACATATATATGTATATTTTCAATCGTTTTGTTGAACATGTTGCGTAGAGAGGTATTGAAACGATAGACAACGCACCCCTGCAGATCTCCAGGTGTATTCTTAGCTTTTTATACAAAGTGAGGATGTTGATATTAAACTCCTAAGTTCTCCAAGTCCAACAACTGGAATGCTCTGACTACAGACTTTAATGCAAAATAGTCAGAAGACACTGAAAAGAAATGAAATAAAGTCCTGTAGATATAACTGGATGTGGCAGTTCTTTTCCATATCTCAGTAATGATTGACTCTGTGATGCCCCCCAGTGAGTGAGTACACTAATTGCAATAATTACACAGTCCAATCATTAAATAATTTTATTCTAATTTTATCCAATCGTATGTCAAATAATCTTTGACTTTTGATAAACCAACTGAATTGAAGTTTAGCTTTTTTTTTTTTTAGTTTTTTAATAATTTTTTCTTGATTAGAACATTTTGGTGATGTGTCACAAACTCGTGTATACCCAGAGCTCCAGTAAATAAACCATTTACTGCGCAAATGTTTTTCAAAGGTTGTATATCCTCGAGTAGCTAGTAGTGGGCGCGCGAATTAAAAACATTTTTTTGGACATTCCGTAAAGACGTTAAATGATGAATCCTTACTTCAATTATAGTATTTTTAGCATGATGTCTAACTGTTATGCTTGTTTACCACGCAGGACTTTTTTAAAACCTACCTTAAACGTCCATCATGTTATGGTGAGACTAACTCGATGATGGATGATGGAGGAAAATCAACGTGACGACAATTGGAATGAAATGATTATGACGTCACAAAAGAGTGATAGCGCTTGTGCGCGCAGTCGCTCTGTGGCCAGCCGTATTTTTGATCGATGAAAAATTCGTCCGTGTACGTGTAAACTCAGCCTTAGCCACAACGTCGAATAGTTAGATAAATTCATCTTAGGCTGCGTTTACTACGGTAACGGACGAATATTTAACCGGTCCGAAAATTTGACCTATAGATATCGTTTACACGGAACCGTCTCTTTAAGGACGTTCATGATCAAAAGTTCCCATCGTCTGATTTTAAAAAACTTTTGCTTAGTATAACTACATCATACTAGAAGTAAAATAAGCAAATAAGAGATGGGAGTCCCCGTTTTCGTTTCAGCCGTCAGAATGTATGGATGTTCACCCTTTTTACAGTAAGAATGCGCAAACAACGTAGACGTGGAAAGCTGTCAAAATAAGCCATGTTTTACTGAAAAAATAAATTGATCGTCAACCACTAACCTGCCTATTTTATTTCAATCAATCACAGGTTGTCGTTCCAGAAATCGAATTCACTTGATGTCATTGGGCGCTTCCCGTGTTTCCTGCCAGCGATATATATCCCTTATATATTCTTCTTCCTATATTTACTTTCTTTTGGATTCGAATCAATTGGTTACTTAATTGCAAAAGCAATTAATGTGTTTTATTTGGAGACTCTCCATCCTTTTAATTGTTTTTCCAGCACTTCATCCTTGGTGAAAAACTTCCGACCATGATTTGAAAAAATGGATATTCGCATTTCAGTGCGAATATTGGTTTAAACAAGCGTTTCTTTCCCTTAGTTTTGTCGATTCTCAAGAGGGCTCCAAATTCACCACATATTGGTTTTTATATGTTCATCAACATAATCGTTATCTTCATGTTGAACTATTTTTCATAGCGTTAAAAGAAATTTGTTATTATGGTGATAATGGTAGATATACCAAAATATGCACTCCAAATCTCATTAAGTACGCACAGATCACAGTATTTGTTCTAATTTTCTTTCTCTCGGTTTTCCTTACTCTCTTTATTAGTTTTCCTTCCTTTTCTTTAATTTTCCTTTTTTTTTTCCCTTCTTTTTCATTTCCATTTTTTTCACACCGCGCGCCAGAGGTATTCTAGGCTCAAAAGCCCTCGCTCTTATATGACGTCATAATCATTTCTTTTCAATTGCCGTGGAATCTATGAGATTTTTTGAGAAGAAAACCGTTGATTCCCTTGTGGTCCATCCTCGAGTTAGTCTTATCATATCCTCACTCGATAGACGTTTAAGGTATAGGTTTTAAAAACCTTCTTCGTCGCGAAACAAGTTAGTCAAACTTTAATACGTTTCACTGCTTATATAAAGAATAGTTTTTGGTTCGCGCTTCAACAAGCGTACTAGCTAGCACGAACTTCCGCCCAGTTAGTAATCTGCCTCTTACTGAGTAAAATAGCTGAAAAGACTGTCATCCCACAGCTTCTTTGTGACTGCTCTGAGCATGCTTGCCTACCAATCAGTCATCGTATTTTCAACATCACTCGACATCCCTTGACATCCCTCGACTGCCTACACAAGGTTCAGAACGATATTCTTCTATAGTATGGAGTGCAAGAAGTCTTCACTCTTCTTGTGCTGGGGGCACTTAAGCATGCGGCATTCCATTTACCATCCATCACAACGTCATGTTCTACTTATCAAAGAATAAGCTTGGCGGCATAGCTAATAACGCTTTTTACTGGCCTAACTCGTTCTTGTCTGGGAGGAAACATCGCGTGGTCATCGAGCAGCGCAATCCCAGGACTTTCATCTTCTTAATTACAGGAGTTCCTCAAGGAAGCCGTCTGGGACCTATGCTATTCATAATGTACGCAT